CGCATGTTCTTATATTTTTTTACACCTAAAATTCTCTCACCTCTCAAAATCATTCCCTTTCGGCAAATTTATTCAGCAAAGTTATTCAGTTTGAATATTTTCTCAAGAATATGATGTTCAAAGAATCCATGAATCATTTCCTGATTCCTATTTATCAAGTGCCTGTTAATATATTTAATATGTAATACATTGTATAATATGTATTTAAAAACAACTTCCAACAGCCAATAAATATCAACTGATTAGGAATTTTTAAACTGTCAATGGAATTGTGTATTATTTATTTAAGCTATCAGTCTATCAATTTATATGTCTGTATATCACGTAAACCATTTAATATCTATCGGAACACTTATTATTACAAACGTTAATTGTTTTTTTTTCGATAAAAAATTATGTAGTGCTAATCACGGATGCCCAGAAGGGAATTCACGATTTAAGTTGCTCCATCAAATAATTTTTTGAGGGGGACATATTTTAACGGGTTTTTGAATTTTTGAAGGGGGGGGGGAGATTTCGACGGAGTTGTGAATTATCGGAGTAAGGGACAATGGGAAAAACACGGAACACACCGCAGCTAGTGTAATTTTCTATGAACCACAATTTTTCTAATTCTACCTTAGCTTGCTATGTTTAATTCCCAAATTGCTTTTTTGAGAGGAGGATAGGTTCTTGCACCATCGAGGAGGGAAGGGAGGATGGACACTCCTGGCTATAACCGAAAAAATACTTCTTTTCTTTTATTAAAATGCCTGTAAAAATGGATTTTTACGTTGTTTTTTTTTAACTTTGAAAAGTTACAGTCGTTTTATTTTTTTGTGGCGTACTTGTTTTTTATAATACCTGTTTTGATGATCTCATAGTTTATTTTTTATTTTAACCAGTTCTAATGGTCATAATGTAAATGAATACGAAGGCTTGCAGTAAATTTTGGGTGTTTGAATGTGAAAGGATCATAAGATATTAGTTATTGAATTTATTTGTTCGCATTTTAACTCCGAGAAAGTATTCAAATTTTCATTCTGAGTTTAAAGAAACAAAAAGTATCTGTATTTTCCCTGGAACTCTTCATTCCTTCATAATTTTCTCACAAAACCACTTTCGTGAAATTTTTTTTGGATTGGACAATAATCTTTAACACAGTATGATGTGCCACAAACCAAATACTCCTCACAATGAGGCTTGCTGTAAGTGTGTCATCACTCTTCTACATCATTGTGGTTACCAATATTACCTTGTTACTTTTATCAAAAATGCGAAGTATAAATTACCTTTCCATCCCAGAAAGATAATTTATGATTTATGTCAAAAGGAACATTTTAAAACCATTGATGGACTTGTGCCAATTCCTAATCCCCAGCATGCCAAAAAGTGGTACATGTGTCCCTTGGGTTGCTACTCATTTAACAAATAGTCGATAAAGATATTAAAGCATTTTTTCTTAAAATAAAATAGTTGAAGAATAATAATTAATAAGAATAATGATAAAGGCTGATCAAGGATCTCCAGACCAAATTGACCACATTATTGATATTGCATGAAATGGTTAACAAGTAGAAGAATGAAAAGCAAATTATATCTTTGTAACAGAGCAATATGAGCTTAATAGGATGTTCATGACACCATATATGATAATAAAAAAATATAAGGCATATGTATTTATGTACTCTTTCAATGATTACCTCAAGAATCTAAATAAAAGAATGGGAGTAAAGCAGTCAAAAGCAGATCCCGAATCCACTTTTTAAAGTGTTTTCAATAATTACAAAAGCTGTTTAGCAGCTGCCTAAGAATGAAATTTTCTTAGGTAAGGATTATTTCAGTAATATATCTGTTTAAAGATTTCAATGCAGCTGTGAAATAGGAATTTCGAAGATCACATAACAGCTAGTGTAGACATTATAAGATACAGATCAATCGATAAGTCGGATGAAAATATCATGATAGACGTATCTCCAATTAATGAGTAAGAATGCCTTGTAATGAAAATAAATAAATTATATTGATATGATTTGATGTTAAATGTAAAATTATTAATTTGGAAAATATAGGAGAAAATATTTTCATCACAATTATAATGAAGAAAACATAGGAGGATGTAGATCCAAAGAATAAAAAAAAAAGAACATAGATCAGAAAAGATAGATTAAATGATATAGTACTTTTGGTACCAATTGAACTACTGAGATGAGATGCATTAATCTACTTCCACCAGGCGACTGGCCACGCAGTGTCACAGGTTAGACGTGGCTGAGGATCCTAGGTGTAAATTATGTCATCAAGGAAGAATGGATGTTGATCACCTAGACACATGTCCTGCCGTGACGGACATCAGAGGAAAGACAATTTTAAATCAAAATATAAGCAAATCTAATTTATACTGGGCAGCAAGATGTCGGATTTCCGAATGATCAACGACTTTGGCGTAAGAACAAAAACATATCTTTTAGTGATCAATTAGTAATGATTCTGTTAATTTACGAATTTTATTATTTTATTTTTTAAATTTCTTTAAATGATTTTCAAAGAAATAATTTTATTTCAAGTTATTATGTTATTTTATTAGGACTTGGGTGACTTTAAGTTAGTGTTCCTTTTTAAATATATTTTTCTTCAGTTTAATCCTTTCAATTTTGCTGAAAATACTTTTATTTTTTATACATAGATGATATTTTGGAAGATCCAAAAAATAATTTTTGAAGAATACTGAACAGTTTAGTATTGAAATTACGCATATAAAAATTAGTCATTGAATTTTTTTCACAAACACAAGCTGAATAAAACTCTTATATCTGAGACTATAAATTACTTCTTTGTATATTGTTGTTTGGACAGCCAAATATTGGGAAATTCTTGTCTTGTATTAAGTTAAATTATGATTTTGATTACTTTTCATATTAAAAAGGGGAAGATTATATCTGTGCTCTCCGTGGAGAGTTGATAATAATAAATTATGGGTTAGCCAAGAGAGAGTTTTATATTTTAACTTTGACAAATAGGAATGTTTTAATGGCATTTAATTTTATTATTTTCTAATGTAATTTAATGTAAATTATTTAGGGAATTCCATATCTATATTGAATTACATTTCTAGTTTGTTATAACCATTTAAGTATTCAATATTATAATCTAAGGGGAAACAAAACTATTACTTTGATTTATTTCATCTTTTTAACTAAGAAAATAGTTTTAATCTGTGTAAAAAAGGAAGAATCCAACTGTTCAATTTTTTTCTGATAAGCATATTTGATAAGCCTTTTTATAAAGTGATGTTTTCCCTATTATTACACTTGAGGATCCACAGTGGATTGAACAGTCACAAATATCTCATTTTTACACATTGAGAGCTATTCATGTAATGAATCTAAGAAGGTGAAAATACCCAATTTTGTGAATTTGCTCTTTATATTCCCATTAGTTTTTTTTTATTCCCATATTATTTTTATTTTTGCCATTTTTTAAATTTTAATTCTTATTTGTGTGGATTCTTTCATTCTTTTGAATAATTTTCTATTTGCATCTTCCAGAGTACTTTGTCATATTAAATCTATTTTTTTGTTGATGTAGATTTTTTTTATGCCGGGTTCGTTAATAAGCTAAAGAGGATAATGTTATCACCATCATCATAATGAGCTCTACAATCTATTACTGAATCTTGGCTGCCTCAAGAGTTGTCTTCCAATTTTTTCTATCCTGAGCAGCTGTTCCACCATTCCTAATTCCAAGAATTCTGGGAATTGTCATTAACTCCATCTCAACTTCGGTCTCCCCACTTCTCTTTTTCTACTTGATTCCATGCTGAGTAGATTCTTCGTTGAAATCTTGTCCACCCATATGACATGACCCGCCCATCTTAGGCTTGATATCTGGATATATTTAATCACATCCAGCTCCTTGTATGATTTGGCTAGTTCATGGTTTTGTCTTATTTTGCATTCATTGTTCTCCTTTACTGGGCCAAATATCTTCCTGAGTAAAAGAAGATAATTGTACACTACAAATATCTGGATACTTATATTTCTGGAGTTCTGTTCCTACCCACCTATATCTTTGTAACTTTTCAATTTGTAAGATAATTTAGAATTTTAATTATATTATTTATATTGTAAACCAGTATGTTAAGTCACCTCTAGAATTTATTTTATTTTTTTACCAAAATAAATCTTATTTGTTTAATATTCCTTCTGGAAAAAATTCAAGGTAGGACTTCATAAACTAATCTCCAATATTCATAACAAAATTAAAATCCCACGTACTTATTACTTAATGTTTCGTGGTCATTTGCACAAGAGCAGCTTTGTGTAAAAAAAAAAAAAAAAATGATTTTGATATAATTTAATATTCTTGTTCACCAATTTAAATTTATTTCAGGTTTAGATTTATTTTATTTATTTATTTAACATTACGGTGTCATGTACCCCTACATTAGGCTAGAGGCACCATTCCTTGTAACATTTACAATTCTTTAAAAAGTTTTATTTCTTTTACAAATTGTGTGATTTGCTCATTGAATTCATGCTCATATTTTTGTTTCCTAATAATGTTGTCAGATCTTGTCCATTGATTCCAAGTATTCTCCTGATGTCCTGGTATAGTGCACAGTCTGCCAATATGTGCTTGACAGTTAGTTATTGTCAGCAGCTGGTTCATATTGACTGGTAGTAATGTTTCATTAGTAAATTTACCATTATTAATTTAATTGTATGTATTATAATTATAAAATGGTTCTATTTCTTTTTTTACATTTTATAGTTTCATTTCTGGGGTGAGAAGCATGGTTTGAGCTTTCCATACCCAATGATTGATTAAGAGATTCCTGCATCCTTAGAGCACTGAGGTCAGCTTTCCAATATTTTCACAGTTTTCATATTAAACAGCTATTACTTACCTGACGTGTTATACACCTATCCAGGATACAGCAGAATTCTGTTCTATTTTTTAACCTGACTTGCTGGTGTGGATCCTCCACGATAAACAATAGGTATAACCTAAAGATTGAATGTGATATAGACCTCAATGCTATTGGTAAATAATTAATACATCAGTAATTATTCGAGGGATATAGTGATACAAATTTTTTTTATTATTATAAAATTTTATTTTGTTTGGTTTGCACTTAGCATTAAAAGAGTGTTAACAAATATAGAAAAGTATAAATTTTCTTTTATAACATAAAATTAATATTTTAGATTTATTGTAATAATTAATTATATATACAGTTTTACAGTCATTGTAGTTTGTATTTCACTACAGGCCATTAAGTATATTATACTGGCCGATTGTACCACATTTTAAGTCTTCAGATTTCATACAATTACTCTAGATAATTAAATATTTGAGATTATTTACATAACTATTTACAAATTCTTAACAATTAAGATTGAGAGTGTAATTTTTTAGATCTAGACTCAAATTCACAGTTTCTTTACTTTAAGGCATCTTATTCGGATAACCCTGGCAAAGTGTAGTGCCCAAAAAAACACTGATGAAACAAAAAACCATTTAAGGAAAGGCAATGAAACTGTAAGTGCGTTTCGGTGAAGAATGAGTGCTAATATGGCACAGCGTAATGATTCCAGAAGAAATACATTCCTTTTATTTTCAAACATCATTCCAATCAACGTCAGTGATCCAATAATGTAGAGAACAAAAATCAAAGCTGTCAGAGGAGTCATCTCCTAAAAATAAATTAAAAACAGTCATTACACAAATTTAGAAGAATATTAGTTTAAATAGTATATTAATCAACATAGAACATTATAACATTGATGTTATTGTTATTTTTCCCTTATTTTTCTTAATAACAAAGGCAATAGACACATTAATGGGATAGTAGTGAAGGAAGGTGATCAGATGATCAGACAATCAACACTTATTTTTTTTGTAATTTCAAAGCATATGATTGGCTGGACTATGTTATCGGATGGTGAGATTCTTACAAATAGGAAAGGTGTACATTTATGTAAAACCTGTTTAAAAAAAGTTAGATGAAGTAATATCTCAAAATAGTTCAGATTCTTTTTCATGAGTAATTTACCATCTTTTACAATTCTATCAGGAAAATAAAATAGTGCTTAATGCACAAATTATTGATTTTTCTAAATTTTGTTCATATCGATTTACTTAGATATTGAAAAGCTGAAACCGAATATTATCAATATCTTAGAATAGAATCTTTTTAAGTTTATTTCTCCACTGGTATTAACTACGAAATTGCGTACTCAAGAAAAAATTATCATTTATTTTTCTTAATCGTACATCATATGCCGATTTCGCTAAAAACCCACAATTAGATTGGCTTTTATGTGTTTCAGAAACCGAATCTGAAAATATAAGGTAAAACAGAATAAAAATAGCACTTTTTTAATTTTTTTTTTTTTTAAAGAATGACCTAAATGAAAACAGGATCGGCAACATTTAGATCGCAGGATCAATTAATTTATTACTCATAATCATGTTTCATTTCTAAAGGAGGTGATGGCGCTGCACTTTGAGACTAGACTCACAGAGTGCTCTGTACTGAACGTTGTGGGTTCGATTCCCACTTAATTTCTGAAATTACTCTGATTTATAGGTGGTGGCACCTCAAGGTCAGATGTTGACAAAAAACAGACTACAGAGCGCACTTGCCGTACTGTTTTTCACCACTAGTTACATACAGTACCAGTACTTCATTTGTATATATTAAAAAAAAAAAACGATAAATGAGGCAATAAAATATTATTATTTTCTGTTGTATTATTCATCACTTGAATTAACTGCTATTAATTAAGAGACAGCTGCAGATTTTTATATGCTAGAGTTATTTTTCAATAATTCTGTTAACTTCTCATATTCAATTACAAGAACTCTTTGAATCAGTTTATGAGTAAATTACTGAATAATAATGTTTATACTTGCTATAATACATATTAATGATTCATTTAAAAATAATCATATTTTTTTGTTTAACAATCAAACAAATAAATAAGTATGGCCCTTATTTCTTATCGACACATCAATGCAAAAAAGTAACATATTGATTAATTATAATTATTATTTTTTAATTTTACCATGTATTTCTTAGCCAAATCGTGATAACTGACGACGACAGCTATGAAGTGTAGAACAAGATAGCAGTTACACCAAAGAGGTAGCTGCACATCAAACTTTTCCCTCTCTTTTACCTGAAATGATTAATTTTTTCTTTAAATGTCTGATATTCATGCAAAAATAAAAGTTATTTTTGAAATAATATATTTTTTTATAGACTACTAAAAAAGCTTACTACTGAATAAAAATATTGAATAGTTGTGAAAATGATTTAACCAATAATTCTACTGTAGTATATATTAAGTTAAAAGTTTTTATTATATTATTTTTAACTTTAATATACACTATTAACTGTCGACATGAATTCTGATCATTGTGGAACTGAATTTTTTGAGGAGATAAACTAATGTAATTTTAGGATTTCACACATAGAAAATTGTTGATTCTTTACCATACGATATAATTCAAATAATAAAGCGACTGAAATTGGTGCTTGAAACTTTCTGAATGCGTTACATACGAATCGCTAAAAGTGTAGACGAAAACCTATAAGGGAGGATTATGCTAGATTCTATTTATCAGACTTGGGAGGAATCCAATTGGAAAATGGTGGAGCGAAGTAGGAAAATATTGTTGTTATTGAATGTCCTGGAGACTTTATTAATTAGTATTGCTCATTGGAATTACGATAAAAATATGTATTTCTGAAGATATTTATAGATAGAGATCGATACCGGATCTTCGTACAGTAAACATCCGTAAAACGTGCTACAAAAATTCGAAATGTGCAAAATCGTGCAGTAAAAATCCAAAATATTTAAAATTATGTAATTAACACCTAAAAACATAGAAAAATTATATGTTTTGTTTAATTTATTATATTGATACATCGAAATGTGACCAAGCATTGTGTTAAGCTCGTGATTTGAAATAATGTGTAACGAGAAAAAGAAACATTAAAATTAAAATGGAACATTGAAAATTAAAATCCTAAAAATACTTTTATGTTTAGACAAATCACTTTCACTCTTCGACATGAAACATGCCCTCCTTATTTACCTTGACAATGACGAAATTCTTCAAACAGATAAAATACAATATCTTGGACTGACATTCGACAGAAGAATGACGTGGGGCACACATATCAAAAAAAAAAAAGAAAAGAAAAACGTTAAACCTCTAACTACGGCTGTTATACTCACTTCTCTCAAGACGCTCGAAATTAAACTTAAAACACAAACTGAACACTTACAATTATCTACTTAAGCCCAAATGGACCTACGCTTCACAAATTTACGGGACAGCCAAAACGACCCACATACGAAAAATACAAACTTTTCAGTCAAACACTTTCAGGACCATAACTAAAGCTCCATGGTACGTCACCAACATTACTTTGCATAAAGACCTTCAAATTCCAACAGTTAACGACCACATAGGGATCCTTTACAAACGATTTCGCAATAACTTACATGGACATACTAACACACTTATACAAAACAGGGTTATATTTAATATACCCGAAACACACTTAGGAGGCTCAAAAGGAGCTGGATGAGGAATATTCTCGCTTAAAAATATGCTAAATTCAAGACAGGAAGGGATGCCGCTGGACACTTCTCTCTCTCACGTCGATCAAGCCACTACCTGTACTCTTACCGAAAGCACACTCGCTAATTGTCATTGCTTATGACAAGTGTGAGTGAAGAAACGGAATTAAAAAAAAATGTTTGAGATTTTCAAGCGTTCAAATATTAGTGTAGTTTTTAGTGTTTTATGGTACCAATAAAAAATTAAAAAAAAAAATTCAGTTCTCCAATAGAGATATCGGTTCTTACATGTTATACAATGGGCTTATATTTGTGATTTTCTATTACACCCCATTAATTTTATACAGGACTTATAGAAGATAAACTTTCCTATCATATTCTGCACGGGGTAATTAGATTTCCAGATTTTAATTTTTGAGGGAACAGATCCTACTTTCAGCATTAAACAAGTTTTTTTTTGTAAATTTTAATAATAATCAAACTACTACAGTTCACTTCAAAGCCATAAGAGATTCTAAAGGGCTGAATAATGAGTGAGAATTTAAGTCAAAATGATAATAATAAACGCCTTCCTAACAAAACCGCGTATTCAAGGAAGGCAGTTGCTATTCAATATTTTAGGCAAGTTCTATTCCAAGACTATTTCCCACTTGTGTTTACTTCTTCCTTATGCAACATTAATTCGGAACCGTGGTTAGCTAGAGCATTATTTACCTTCCTCATATCTTAAATTATAAATTTAATATGGATAAGACGATAAAATAAAAAGATAAATAATTACCAACACATGTAATTGATATTTATAAATCATCTCACTCTAGTACGAAAATGTGCAATCTGATGCAACTAAAAACAAAATCTTGCAATTTAGGTCAACTACAGCAGAATGTGTAATTTCGTGCATTATAAATATATCCAATATGTTCTTCTACAGATCGTGAAACGGATAGATTGTCGGGTCTGAAATTTTTACTCGCAAGCGAATGACATGGGAATCCGGTCTCTAGATAAACAAGTATAACTAATTATATTTCCAAGTATAATTAAGAACTATTTCCAACATAATATTTTTACTGAAAAGCAATGGTAATTGTAATCAATTATCGCTGTTTTCTTCAACGATTCCTGGAATAGTCCGACCACATTTTGTACCCAGATAGTTGAACTCATACGGTACTATCAAATTGTAATTTGATACTAACTTTTTTTCTTCTTAAACTGGGATGTGCCTTGTAAGATATTTTCAAATACATTCCTATATAACAAGATTACAGTTCATCTTATAATAAATCTATATATTTGTAAATATATTATAATATTGGAGGTTAAGGGAAAGAAAATGTTAGTTTAAACTTATACATCTTATGTTATGTCATGGATTCACCTTCGGGAAGCCAACTAATTGAAGTCGAGTTATAGCTTTGCCTTATAGGAATTTAGGTAGTCCTTTTTATATATTTATATATTTTAATTCTCTAGAATCTAGAATTTTACCTCAATGTATTTGCAATAATCTACTATAATTTATGCACAAATCGTTCAGAAAATGAAGAGGAATACAAGTTTGCTTCATTAATAGCTATTTTACGTCAATCATTATTATTTATTTATGTTAATGTTAATTTTTTTTCATAATTAACCTTTCCTGTTGTTATAAATTTTGCTCATTATAATTATTATTGTTCGAAAATTATAAATATTCTCACATCAATTTTATCTGCATCGCATCCTGCCCAAGGCCTTCCGGGCAACCAGCTTGGTCCTTTAATAATAGAGCTTAACTTGTTCTGCCACCCCTCCATATTTCTGAACTTATTCCATACGTTTTTGTTGTAGAAAACCTGAAAGAAAAAAGAAAAAAAGTTTTATTGGCAGAGAAAGGATCAAAAAATAAAATATGAACTTTTTTACAATATGATATAATTATAATTATTATAATACGAATTTTCACTTTTGTGATACTTCGAACAGCTTAATAGAATTAGCAAAAGGACCAACTGATTACGGATAAATTTTGTTTGTATTCTTGTTATCAAAGAAAGATTATAAAAGTGACTCAAATGCCTTAGTTCCCTTTAAAAAATAAAGACATTATTTGGAATGTTCCTGTATATAACACCACTGTATATAACACTATCCATATTTAATAGCACGGACCAAATGAAGCTTAGTAAATTATCATTTAAGGTAACTCAGCTGTTTAACTCTATGTTAAAACAGTGGTACTGCTTTCAGAATTAGAAATTATGTTTGGGTGTGTGTGTGTTTTCTTCGATTGTTATGATTTTGTTCTGTATCTAAAATTTTTTTATTTATTTTTAATGTATTGAGTCAAATTATTATTATCAATTAGAAAAAAAATTGCTTTACAACTTTTGTTTGATTCGAGAATCGTCATGAATTTAAAGATGATAATGTAGTACATGTAAATATAGGTGCAGGTTTAGTTGAAGTAGAAGTAATCTAAAGAAAAGTTGGTTGTGGTTTAAAAGTGCGGTCAAAGGCGGATATATATATTCTTAAGGAAAGTTTTTCTATTTTTGCCGACGTTTTGGTCTAATTACAAGTCCCTCTTCAGGACCTGTCCTTTGAACATCTCTCTGGACCGTCGCTCAGTGGGACGAATAAGGGAAAACTCGCAACATTCCCTAAATCTTATTTTTTTTTTCAATTGAACCATTCAATAAAAATAATAAAAAACGTGTATTCTGCCTACTTATAATATTTTACGAATAACAGAAGGTATCAATAAAACTGTTCATCTAGTTTTCGGAATTCTAAAAAAAATTTTGGTCGATGTCGCGAGTTTTCTCTTACACGTCCCACTGTTCATCGGCTTGATGAATGCCCACTATTTTATAATAATTATATTAAATAATGCTGTATTTATTCCCAAGATAAAACCCTTAAGAACAACATTTTAGGAAATGAATTATAGGCTTCAGAGCTTCCTCAGAATGAAAGAATTAACAAATAAAATTATGAGATAATAACAAAGGTAGTTTCTATTGGTAATACCTACATCGTAAAAATAATAATTAATAAAGAGAAAAATACTGTATATACACATTTATTTATTTTTTTATGAATATAGGAAACATCTATTCACATGATTTAAGAATATTGATGAAATTATGAACTGTAAATATAACCTCGAAAGATGAACCAATATTGTTTATCTTAATACATTTAGCGATATCAAAATAATATTGCATGTATAAAAGAAGAACAGCAAAATAAATTAACTGAATAAAAGTTTTTACCTTTTTACATATTTTGATTGACATATTAGGAAATCTAGTTATATTTTTTTGGGAAATGGTTACGCATGATTAAGTAGACGGGATTTGAAGATGGGAAGGATTGGCGGAATTTAGAAATACCTTAATTCAGACTGAGATGTCGACATTGAAGTTAATTGTACTTTTTAGTGTTTTTTTTTCTATGACTGCTCGACCCAACCAACTTTCTCTTAAATGCATGTAAATATAAAAAAAATAATTGATATGCTTGCAATTATAAAAAAATCTGGATGATCCTGGCTAGCATAATATTTTATAAGATGTAACATGTAATTACTTGTTACGAGCTTCGATACCTCTTAGAAGCCAGCGGCTGCATATTAATTTATTTTGGAAAAAAAAATAGATCCGGTTTGAAGAGCAGCTTACATTAGAATACTTAGTATATTGTTTTTTTATTATATGTGTGTATACTTTTCGCTTTTCTAATTATCATTTTTATTTAATCGTTCAAAAGTTACTATTAGTCAGTGTTCTTATATAACTACCAAAACATCTACCTGAATTCATTGTCAAGGTTAGGTCGAATCATCCCAAGGCACTTACGATAATTATTTTATTTTCATATTTAGGCAACATTTCGGCCATTAACAAGACTACCCACAAACGTATAATTTCATTTGTTTTTGTCCATCAAGTTGATGGGTTTTAATCAATCGTGGTCAAAGAAGTTACGAAGAAACATATTTTTTTTATTTATTTCGTAACGCACGTCTTCATGGTGTGCCTACTCACATGACTTTTCTTAATGTTTTTAATGCTTTGTTTAATACAAAAATTATTACCTGTATCCTTGCTAATATTGGTCTGATTAACATGTTTTACTTAGTTTTAGTTTAGCTTTGTAGACAATTTTATAATCTTTCAAATGATTACCTAGAATGTTCATTTATAGTTTTCGAATCATTCGAACCGGCTCAGATTTAAGAGATAGAACAATACACGTAACAGTAGCAGAAAAAGCATCTTTAATGTTCAGAGGAATTTGAAAATTTGACACGATTACAATACTTCCCTTGCTTATTTCCATCTCTGGTTGTAATAGCTTAATACAGTTCATTTTATAATTAATAATCGGTTAAAACATTCGTAAATAAATAAATGATATTTTTTTTCGTTTGTTTAAATTATCGGTCAAAACATTTAATACGAATTTCGAATAACAGTAAATACTAAGTTGAATATATCAGCTATTAGATTATTAAAATTTTAAAAAATCTCGAATCTCTCAAATATTAGTTTATACTTATTCAGAAAGTATAACGATCAGGAACCTATTACAATGTATTTGTTAAATGTTGGAAGCTCTTAGGGTGTTAAAGTGAAATATACTATCTCTTATGTGAATAATGTTAATTTAATGTCTTCAGGTCAGATAATGTCTACATTGACGAAACTTCGATTGCCTGAACCATAACATTTATTTAAAATACTCATGGCTTTGAATTGTACCTATAATAATCTAATAATATATTTGATATCTTTTTATATATTTGAGTCTTTGTATTCATTTACTTATATTAAAAAACAGTAATAACTCGTTACGGATTTCTTTTTTATTGAGATAAGAATAATCATTAAAGAATAATTTGTAAAAAATAAAAAAAAATAAATGCTTATAGCTATTTATATAGCTTGATAAATGATAGTTGAAATTATTTATAACTAGTAGGCCCGTGCGAAAAATTCGCTCTGCATATCGTCATCAAATGCCAAATTAATAAGAAAATAAAATAATGCAACAGATCAAAAGATAAAGAAATCAATTGTTACGTTTTCGATAAATATAACCGACAAAGGAAACAAAAATTAATTTAAATCTTCATTTTTATTTGGAACCAACATGTTTACAAATTTCAATACGGTGTATCTTTGCTACAAATTGTCCGATTTCGATGATTTTTTTTCCTTTTGTAGTGAATTTAGTAATTATTTATATAATCATGGATATAACCAAAAGGGTGTACTTTTTTAGTTATTCGGAAATAAAGTTTGTCTTCTTTCATAACTTGTTTGCCTGAATTTTAGGGGCGATTGGACTATTTTGCTAGCCTGAAGGAGAAGGAAGCCTTCGAAATTGGTGGCTTCATCTTGAGATTTGGTGAAGAATTAACGATGATATGGCTTGCCAATCTAAAACACCATCCGTAAATAATATAAACTCCTCCTCTCTCGATCATAGAGACCTCAAGTCGACGAAATGAGACATGTATTCAATGACTGTACTACAATTAACGTAAGTTTTAGTGGATCCGAACCCTATGCCTTGCATAATCTCGAAAATAGTATGTTTTGGGGCTTAAAAACGCAGGATCCGATAGTATCCGGGTCTTGCTGTACGCATCAAAATCTTCAAGATCCAATTTATCCACAGACCTACCACCGTTCTAGTATTGAAGCCTAGAAAATGTTTGTATCGACTTTATTTATTTTAGAAAGAAAAACAAAAGTGGAGAATACGATTCGCTAACCCCCGTGAAATTCTGAATCCAACGGTACCCCATTAATGGCATTTGAGTATGACAGGAATTTATATTTGGTAAAAAACCGATTTCGAGCCTTACTGTAACAATATATGTGGGGACATGTGATCCGTAAATAACAAATTGCTAAATTTGTTAATTATAAGTAAATTTGTTATTATAAGTAAATAACAAATTGCTAAACAACAGCTTGCAATGTAAACAGTCCAGATTTGCAACGATAACTTTAAAGCTGTGAAAAACATATCGATTGTTTAGCAGTAAACCAGTTTATTTCGAGGAGTTGTCAATATAGCGGTTCCATTAGCTACATAAGGCCGGCACCCGCGTTCCGGTATACCGTTATGGTTTATAGGCGTACAGGTATATACCGTATAAGTAATGCAGGTAAACCGGAGCGTGTGTCAGCCGCTGCAGGCCTAGCTACACAGGCTTAGCGACCTGTGCAGGCGACCGGAGAAGAATCTAAATTTAGTATTTTCTACCGTGCAGCAGGTAGGTGCACGCCTATGCAAGGCGTGTAGACCTGAAAAGTGTGCGGTATCACTCCGGTATACCTGTACAGTTTTCAGGTTAATTCGTACATTTTTTGATCAAGTAAAGCGATCGCGTCGTCTTCCTGCTTGCTCATACTATGTCTCGACAGAGTTAAAATCTTCCGGTTTATTCTATCCTTTATTAGCAGGTTTACCTGACAAGTATATCGTAACTTGTATGCCCGGCCTAAGCAGGTTAACAATATCAAGTTGTCAACATTTTCGACAAGTTAAAAATTCGAAGAATTTTTTTTTTTGTTCTAATCGGATTAAACGGCGTAACAATCTATTAAGACTGATTTTGTTTCGAATAGTGACAAATATCACAGCGAGCTTTCCAAAATCCATCCAAATATGAATGGGTTTTTGATATGAAGACTCGAAATATTAAAGACAGCAAATGTCTTCAACTAAAAATATGTTTGGAAAATAAAATGGAATGAATATCGATGATTCCTGCAAAGAATTCTATGCATGTTGCAAGTGATTGAAAAAAAAAAGTTTACATTCTATACTCTTAAACGATCTTCATGTCCGAGCGCCAGCCTTAGAAAAAAAACTTTTTATCCTTGAACTATACATAACTAGCTACATACAGTAAGGCGCCAATACTTTGTTATTGACTTGTATTTAATGTTCTTACTGCACCATAAATATGTATGGACATGCATAGGCGCAGATTCTAGAGGGGGAGGAGGGGATGGGCGACCTCCTCTCCTCCAATAAAAATGTTGAGGGGCGAGAATATCGTTTCTCCCCCAATATTTTGATTTTATTGACCATTTAAAAACAAATTAAAATTAATAATAAATTAACAAAAATAAATAAAAAGGAGTTATGGGAAAAAAATAATAATAGTAATAATAAATTCGCTAAATGAATGAATCAAATATGTAAACAAAAATCGATTAAGACTGGCTAGGAATGGGTCTAGTTGTAGGTATGTAACTATATTATTGTTATCTAAATGTTACTTTTATTTGAATTGTCCTTTATATTCAAATATAATAATATATTTCAACATATCCTAGTATTTTATGATTCAATCACCCAGCAATTTTCTCGTGATATTCTTATCGCATGACTGTAAAAAACGTATTTTTCTTTGAGGTTGTACATACCTAAGAAATCAAAGATATTTTTCACTTTTTTACATTATTCATTTTTAGCTTAAACAGTTCTAGAAAGTTATCAATATTAAGAAGGCTGTCTCCCCTAGCTGTACTAAACAAATACGTTATATATTGAATTATATATTTTTTTTTAGATATCATTATTTTTTCAAGTATATTATAATTAAATAAAAAAAAATCCTTACAACTACATAAACATACCAACAAATTAATTTTAAATATTCTATATTATATTTGTTGGTTTCACAATAATTATGTTGAATTTTTACACATAATGAAAACTCCCGCAATATTTTTTTTTTTGCCTCTCCCCACAATCAACAACGGAAGTCTGCCCCTGTGCGTACATTTATTGCAATAAGATGGATTTATTTTATTTTTTTTCTTAATAAAGGTTGATAATTATTTTATCTCCAAATAGAATAAATGTTCCTGAATACAACTTTATGTATATTATATGTATTATATAAAGTGTGTGTTTTCAGAACGGGAACATTAGAATGGTTTACTGTGTTGAATTATAACCATATATATTATATATAATATTATTATACAAAGGTGTAAAAGCATTATATTAGTATGTAAATTGATATTTTTTTTAACTTAAAGCTATTTTTCTTATTAAGTTATGCAAATATCTTTTGTTCCCTTACATAACATAATAGTGGATAAATACCTGTAAATATAAAGGATTGAAAGAAGGTTCGTGAATGACGAGACCATATATTATCTTTTCTTTGGCTCTGTCCTCGGCGAACGTTCCGAACAGCCTGTCCCAGATGATTAAAACACCTCCGTAATTCTTGTCTAAGCACCACATCACGCTTCCTGTAAAAAGTTTCGGTTAAATACCAAGTAATTCAGGCGCTTCCTATCCAACACTAAGGGATTGCCAATTACCGTGGTGAACCCTGTGATGCTTAGGAGTGTTGAGGACCAGTTCCAGGGGTCCGAGGGATTGCACCGCTTCCGTGTGGATCCAGAACTGGTAGAGGAGGTTGAACTGCTGGTGTGTTAGGAAGAGGGAAGGCGGTACGAACAGTGCCATCGGTAGGTAAAATATCTAAACCGAAAACATAAGTGTTAAGTAACGCAATTATACAGAGGCATTAATTGGGACTTATTATTAACTTTCAAGTTAAGCTATTCCATAGAAAGATTATTTTTCTTATTATAGATCAACCTCAGATATAAATATAAGTATGAATACTTACGAAACCGCACCAACTCTGAAGAACAGACTGCCTAAGACCCACTGCTAAATTGTAATCTTCCGAACTGTGATGAACTTGGTGCTGAGCCCACAAGATGTGTACCTCTGGAAAAAAAAATAGTAAATTTTTTAAATAATGGTACATTCTTATATTAAGCTTTCCGATTTCGCATATATCTATTTTTAGAGACTATGACATATGAGACAAAATAGAAGGATGAAGAGCGAAGGGAAGACCTAGGAAAACCTGGGAGAAAGGAGTCAAGGATAACATAGACTGGAGGCAAGAAAGAGAATTAATTCAAGAAAGGTACATTTATTTAGGTCAGGCTCTTCAAGCAAACCCCTCTCGCGGCATTTCCTTAGAGAGGTTGGATTAAGAAGAAGAGGAGTAAATGTTCGGAACAATATTTATTTTCTGGATGTTAAAAACTTAAAATGCACATAATATGAGATTTGTTTTGCGACCAGTTGAAAAGCATATGCACTGAATATTTATACCCATTGGCAAGTATATTTATGTTTATAAACATGTAAAGTAGAATTTCTTCAATGTTTTCACTTTATTCTATATTCTTAATACACCTTTTAAATATTCTGAACATCTATAAAATTTAACGAGATTCTTCTCTTAGTGTAAATTTCTAAAATTTTACACTTTCATGAACAATTTAATTAATTTCTAATAGTAAAGGGTGTCGGAGTACTTCTACGAATCAAAATCCTTTCAAATATAAATAAGTTACATGATTCTTTGTGCAATTTCTATTTCGTCAATTTGCTGCAAAAAGTCATTAATTGACATATTATAAACTTTAATTACTGAGACCTTAAATGAATTTTCTCTTTATGAAATGAGAACATTGTGTACATGTTGTAACTATATTTAATACATGAATGGGTTGATTTCATTTTGGTACACTCGATAAATAGGGTTGATATGCACAAGAATGTTCATAAAAGTGAAGTTTCATCAATAACGTCCGTAGTGACTTTTTGGTATAAAGCGAATATTTATTATATTGTAGAGATGGGTAAGTAGTCGACTGATCAATTATAAGGATGAAACAAAAATTGTCAGGAATTTAAGTCAAGATATTGTTATTGGATTACCTGACGTTTCGACGCAAACATCTGCGTCATCCTCAGGGCTATCGTTTGGAAGTCGAGACAAGAACTGTGTGGAACTTGAATTCTCGTCTCGACTTCAAAACGATAGCCTTCAGGAAAACTCATATATTTGAGTCGAAATGACGGCTAGCTCAATAAAAATATCTTGTCTGAAATTCCTGAAAATTTTGTTTCATTATTGTATTATAGTTTAGACAAAAATGGAGGTTTATAGATTATAATAAATATAATATTTACCATGACTAGCCCGATGAACCCAGTAGTAGCAGAAATCAACCCCGATGGCTGTTAAATACCACGTTATCGGGGAATCCCATTGCAAATCAGCTATCCTGTAGTTGTTGTAGATCCAAATGTAAAGAATGCTTTCTCCTCCTCGGAACAACAACCTGGAGATAAAGATAGATCGCATTAATTTCAAAATTATTTTTACTTATCCCTCTTAGATGTTTTAATTTTATAAGAAAAAATAACATCATGGGGCTTTAATGACAGTAATTCAGTATATTTTTAAAAAGAAAAAAAAACAATTGAATAGTCAATCTCTCTTTAAGAGGCAAAGAAAGATAATTTATCATAATTCAGTAATATTCTTCGGATTTTTTACAAGAAAAATTAACAGTCCAGAATTAGAATGATTATGGTTATCCTCTTACAACATCTTACGATCGTAAAGCAGACGCAAATAGGAAAAACTATGACACTTGCGATGGCCGCTGGATGTCCTGCACAATGATAGGAAATTCACTTTTCTTCTGGAGGGCAATTCACACGCTTGATTCGCTCACCGTCAAGATCTCGAGATCTTTTTCATGATCCAATGAACAGTAAGGTTAACCATGAGGTTAGTACTCAAGTGCCAGATATCGTTATGCACTGAATAGATACCACTCTAACTCCTAGGCTTAGTACAAAAGTGAAATCCGGGAGATCGCAATTTGCTAAAATGAGCAACATTGCACTTAATAAAAAATATGACGAAAAAGGGCTGATCATCGATCAAAAACTCGATATTTCCGTATCACTCACTGAAAATAAACTCCTTTCTTATTTTTGTCCACTTTCCAACAGTTGAACATATAACGATCCTTTATCAACGATTTTAAACAAATTTAAGTGGACATAATAACAGACTAATAAGAGACATGGCCACATGTGACATACTCCAGAACATGAGGAGGGACTAAAAAGATGTTGGATGAGAGATATCCTTCCTTAAGCAACCTAAGTAATTGAAACAAGTTAGGGAAGAGGTATAACTGAGTAATTTTCTTCCCCATGTCATTATTTCAAGTATCGCCATCACATTTACTGATTGTCAACAGGAAGCTGACAGGCGCAAATATATTTTTGATAGGCAAAAAAAACTTACTAATGTTTTTGGCCAGTAATATTTTTGTTAGTTATACATACTTATTCTTAGGCTGCCAAACCGAATAAATTCTGTATTATATTTTCATTCTAAATATTTCAGTAATATCTGGGAATGAAGATCATTAAAATGACGAGCGTTACCCATGCAAATACCAAGATACTCTTTTCTTAATGTGTATACCTATAGACCGTGGTTCAGACCCCTTTTTATTAAATTATTAAAATCCTCTCAAAACTTTGTGAATGGCTTCATATTATAGTAGCCTAAAAATGTTTTATCTTTCTCAGAAATTGGAGGTTTTCTCATTAAATTAATTAATTTAATGATGTATTAAAACTCATAAATATCCATTTGCTTTCCACTTTAATTGTAAGATAATCTCATCACAAAATAGAGAATAAAGGTGGCGTACAAAACTATTGGGCGTTTTGGTGTATATAACCTCGTTATTTTTACATGTTGTGGGTGGAGGTCGCGCCAAATGGACAAGTATTTTTGTAGGCCACCTTTATTGTAGTGTGATAAAATCATCTTATGCGTGTTGATGGACTTTTAGCACCTAATTAAGAAGACAAATATTTCCGATTTACCGATTGGAAAGGGCCTTAAATCCGAGTATTTTCGTAAATAAAAAAGTTGTTGGTTACAATGAGATGAAGCTATTCACGAAATTTTAGATGAGTGTTAATAATTTTATAAAAAGGAATCTGTACCACGGACTACTACTCCTATTACTTGAATCAATCGATTGACATCTACAATCGGAAATGGTACGGAAGTGTGAAACTGGGTCATGTTTGCCGTTCTTATTGAAAAGGAGGTGTCAATGGCCCTGGGGGACTGATCTTCAAGGCAGAGCGGCTGCACCAACCGCCTTGGGTCCGACCAGTCTTCCATTCATGTTTTTTTTATCTCCACACAAATAAAAGTAAGGACTTATCGTAACTAATTAATACGTACCTTCCGAGTTCTTGAAAGAGGCCATGAGATAGGGACACTATCCCATCGTTTATCCTCATCAGCGGTTTTTTTTCCAGCCATAGAAGAACGTTCTCCAAGAAAATGAATAACAGAAAGTAAGGCCAAGCCTGCAAAAGAAATTGTTTATATTTACTTCCATACACAATTAAAAAAAAAAAGTTTTGATTGCAATGCCGCTCTGATCGCGTGTATATTCCTATCTTGTTGTGATCCAACAACATTCGTGATGATCATTTATTTTTTGTATGACGTAAAGGAAAAAGTAAAGCAAGTGCGACCTCCATAACTGGACTGTAAACAAAACTGATGTAACTTCTGTTGTTTGCCTGAGCATGGGCCTATTAGAATATTAACGATTGATTGCAATCAACAACAGTTTTTCCTTTAAAAACAAATTCTTTGTTCTGCGTAAAAGCTATAATAACGGTGGATATTGTCGCGACAGCGGTCGAACCCTTCTTTTACTTACTAATAATAATAAATTGATAGATTTTCGCTAATGATAAACAATATAAAAATATTCCATTTTTTCTGTTAAAGCTGTTATAAATTAATATAAACGTGTAAACGTTTTGCTCTGTCCTTCCTGCGTATCGAGCAAGAACATTTCCGAGTTCTTGGCTTGGATAATCTGGCGGGAGATTTTTTTATTTAAATAAATAGAAATTGTTAGCAGTTAAATGTAAATAAATGGTCACCTCATGATAATAAATCGTATGTAAATGAAAAACTGTTTGTGTGAAAATTTGTTACCATATATTTGGACCATACTGAGAGCGAGAGAAATGTTCTGCATTTCATCCTGTTTATAATGAACTATTGTTTATAATTTATATTTCATATTATTAAAATCATTTTGTTGATGTTTTCAGTCGTATCATGTGGTCGAAAGCACACATAGTTTTTTTTATTTTTATGAAAAGCAATGATAAAGTCCCTTTAGAATAACATAATTGTACAAAAAGAAACGACTATTTTTGACCTAAAAGTTTGAAAAAATAAATAAAATTTAAAAAATAAACTAAAAAGTAAAGAAAACCTCAAGTGAACAAGCTATATCAAAAACGAGTAAAACTATGCACACACCACTTAAAACTATGAACAAAACATTTAAAACTATATCTATAATGATAGAACAAATATACGCTTTAAGAAATGAAGAACGAAAAAGAGACAAAATAAAATAATTACTTTTCATAAAAAAACTCAACTTTAAAATTTTATTTAGAAAAGTGAAAGTTGCATCTGCCAATATAAACCTAATTATATAAACGCTGGATGAAATGTAAATACAACATAAGAATAGCGCTATCGTCAGTTATGGAAGATACTTGTTGGCGTTCAATTGTATATAAAAAAAATGTTAGTGATAATTGAATTAAAAAAATTTTTTTTAAATAGAAATAAAATGCTATTATATTACTTTTACTTCATTGATCCGAAATTCATTTAGAATTATCTAAAAATTGAATTAAGTGATTAATAAGTTGAGTGGCAGTGCCCCGTGACCTTTTGTAAAATGTATGTATTGGAGTTCTGGCAATGGCCAGATTCTCCACTCGAGTCATGAGTGTATGTGGTTGTAGGAGGGCCCTTACTCAGCCTCCGCTGGTTTTTAATACCAGTGAAGTGGTTGAGGGAGAAGCGCGGGGATCTCCTGAAGCCTCGCTTTTTCCTCCACAAGTGGGGGAACAAGTCTGGTTCGGAGTTCCCATGACCGATTGCAAATAGGTATGGCTGTGTCTAAGATGTTGTTTTTATTTTATTATTAATATTATTTATTTACTTATTTTATTTTTCTATATTTCTTTTTCTTTATTAGTTCTATTATTCTTTATTATTCTCAGTTATTATTTCTATGTACATATTGTGGGAATGATTCATATGGCCTTAGTATTAATGCCCTTTAATGTGGCAGAATGCATTAATATTCAATAAAAAACATAAAATAAAAAAAATAAGTTGAGTGATGTAATATTCGCCAGCACATCGCTGTTCGTGGTTTAGTGTCGCTCAAATAAAATAGACTTTTTTTCGGGAGGAAATGAATACCTTAGAACCGTTTCCTGAGGCAAAGGAAAATACATTTTACATCATCTTGATCAGAATTTGGTTGTCCTTCAGAGGGATTCGCACGAGAAATCGTAAGCAAGTTTATTATATAATTTTGTGCCAATTTTCGTCAGAATCAGGATCGCCGCTGAGTAATAAAATAAGATAAAAAAATATTCAGAACCGGACTATTTTACTACAAATTTCACTTTGATCATGATATGCCCCACACTGTATTGAAAAATGGATTCGTGTGGATGTTTGGCTCTAAAAACATAAAAATAGTTTTAATTTCTTCTTTTTTTACCCACTCCTAAAAGATAAATGAATAAAATGATACTCACTTCTAGTTTATCTTTGAATATTATTTTGTGGCAGGGTTATAGAAGGGTTTCCAAATAGCACAAGTTTGGATTCAGGAAGCCTTTAAACCTAAATCTATGGATGAATGGTAAAAATGGCACGCTTTCATTTATTCACTGAGGATAGAACTCCTAAGAGAAATTCTATATAAATTTTAGAGAAAATCTGAAGAGAATTTCTTTCGCGGTAAAATAATTTAGTTTAATCCATTTAGATTTGGGTCCAGTTGGAATTTTTACTATCTGTTGCAATCCTTTATATAAATGATATGTTGTAATTAGGCGTTGTTTAACTTTTATACAGTAGGGCCCCTTTAAAAATATATTGTTTTACTAGTACTTGATAAATTGATTTTTATTAATTAAGTGGACTTTATTAATAAATTTTCATCTATTCGTGTGTATGTTGTAGAAAACTACTGATCAGCAACCTATTATAGTTCTGTGTTCAAATATAGGTAAAAACTCACACTCATTTTTCTCTTTACGAATTCAAAATAAATCGGTAACTAATTTTAGGTAAGAAAGAGGTAGTTCACATTAAAAAAAAAAAAGAAGATGGCAATACCTAATTGGACTTTTTCTGTTGCTCTATCGGTAATATTCCATACTGTACGTCGTTATAAACAGCTTATCACTCTGCTTGTATATTTATGATTAGTGTATATTTATAATCTCCGAGGAATCATTCGACGCCCAGTGGGAATCTGGGATAAACCTAGGAGCAGTACTTTTCTCTATTTAAAAAAAGTAAAATTTAGTGTGAGATAAAATAGCAAATTTATTTAGGAAGGGTTTGCTCTTGGTGAGTTCATTTTCTATGGATCGCCGAATGTCCATTGTTAAAAGAATTTTAATGATGGGCTTAGCTTTTAAATTGAGATGTATTGTCAGTGACAAGTATTGATAGTATTAGTGTTAATCATTTAAAGTGATTCTTTTTTTAAACATTTAATTGCGAATAATGCATAGGAACGATTTAGTTTATTGATGGATTATCTAAGGAATGGCATATAACTGAAAGTAGATGAAAACTGTTCTTATAATCCCGCTACGTGTAAATATACTCCAAGAATCACAATTTGTGTTTTCTGGACGATTGCCAAGCTCCTAGCCGCTTTCAACAGCCATAAATCATTGAAGCAGGATCTCTGGGTAAGTTTGTTTTCCCCATTATATTTTATTACTTAATCGTTTATTTAATCATTTGTTTATTTTGAGGTCCATACTGTGCTCTCTCATATTTGTTTTTCCATTCTGTACTTAAATTTTTTATTTTTTTCACGATTTAGTAAATGAAGTTTTGTACAAACACGAATCAGTCACTCACCAGGTTTTGGCAAGGGGTTTCATTCCATTAACCTTATTGCTTCTTCTTCTTTTTTTTTTTTTTCTTTTTTCTTTTTTTTACTTTGAGATAATTTTCATTTTCAATCGTTGAGTCTCTAATTGAATTACGCCATTCCATTATGAATTATTTATTCCATAACCTATTTCATCGACAATTCATACAATATTTAAAATACGTTAAAATCTTTGAACAATTGTAACTTATTATAAGTTAGGTACTTCTAGCCTAATGTGGCACACAACGAAAATGTAAAATAAATAAAATAGATTGCACAGAATCCATTTTCACTTTTTCCTTTTTTTAAATATTTATCTTTAGACTATTACAGAATAATAATCATAATAGTAGAATAAGAGAGCGAGGTAGCTCAGTGATAGGGTACTAAGCTTTCAGTCCCAGGTTCGAATGCCGGCTCGTGGCAGAAAAATTATTTATTCTGTTTCGTTGGCCGTGAGGCGACCCTGGGATAGGAAGACCCTCCTGGGGCATACCAGCCTTTACAAAATGCGTACCCTTAATTAAATAATTCATTAAGGGAGAAAACCTGGGGGTTGAGCGTGATCTTTGTCCGATCCTCTGCCTGTACAACCGCTGGCCATGTAACAGTACTTTTCCTAAATAGTACTAAATCCAAGACCCTTCATGGCTTGTAGTGGTACAGGTTTTTTTTTTTTACTATGGAATAATTCCTTTTACTACTATTATGAAAATATTAGCTTGTTTTTAAAATGTTCTGTGTTCGTACTGCCATTTTTGAAAGCATTATGAATACATAATACCTCTACTAATATTCTTAAGAACAAATATTAAAGAGGGAAAGAACATGAAAAAAACAAATCTCAAACAAAAAACTACTCCTGAACTTGCTTGGCTCGTCTTTTAACTTTTTTTATAATACGCTCAATTTTTACAAATAGGCTCGATCACAATGACATTCGTTAAACATCATTGTTACAGTAATATTATAAAGGGAAATGAAACTATTAAAGAATAAAAAAAGTATTATAATTTTCAGAATAGTCTATAAATATGAAATAGAATAAAATATTCATAAGTTGTTACTCTCCTCAATATATTGCGCTTAACGTTCCATATGACTTCATAAAAAAGAACGAACGGTTACATAACCGTATCAATGGTTTCCTTGAACTTGAAAATCTCGTACCGGTTGCATAATAAATTTGACGTCATATGGTGAAGCTTGTTCTGATTTTTGTACCTCTATACCTTTGAATAAAATATTTTCCTGCAATGTTGCCACGTTTTAATACCTTCAATCTGTGTATTCAGATAATGTAGTTAATATTTACAGAGATTAATATTTACAGCAAAATATAATTTA